AAAACAGCATATCTTTAGAATTTCTGATACAGTCTTGCATGCTGAAAATAATTTCCCCCCACTGAACACAGTGGTGCCATTGCTCACTTTGAAATTGTTGAGTTTGTTAATAAAAAATTCTAAATTTGTGCTTCCAGATGCCCATATTCCAGCGGAAGACTATAATTTATTTAAAATTTTATTCAAAATTTAATGTCTCTAGGTACCTTTGTTTTTCACAATGCGAGAAACATACATACATTCATGTATATACTTCATTATTTAATCTCTTTAAATATAATGCAGGGATCTAATATTTGGTTGCAAAAACTTGAAAAATGAAATGCTGTTTTATAGCGGACAACGTAAAATGCCAAAACGAAAGTAATAGCCCTTCTGGGCAAATTGCCCCTTTGGGGTTTAATAAGACAGAAACAGATACTACACTTCTTCAGACTTTGTAATTTCAAAAATAAAATATAAAATTCAATTTCATAATAATAAATGTCTTTAAACAAATACATATTTATTTTATATTTTCAAACTAGAAATTAGAATTATAGGTTTTATAATTTTTTAATGATCTATACATTTATTACTAAAATTCTAAATATAAATCTCATCCTGAAAACTTGAAGACAAAATGAATATTTTGCAACTTTGATACATTTTCAGTTGCTATGTAGTAGCACAGTAACATCTAAAAACTTATCAGTGATCTATAATAAGTGCAATTTTGCTTTGGGGCAGTAAATAAAGAGAATGTCTGTGTACTCAAATATACATGTGATACATTTGGTTATATTTATCATTACTTATAAGCCTCTGGACAACATGATAATGCATGACTATATATACAGCTTCCAATGTCTCATGATTTCTTACTAAAAATATTATCATTTCATTTCCATATCACCTGTACTTATCAATGTCTCACCACACAATTTTTTTCTGGTACCAGTTTAAAAAAGTACTAAAAAGATGCCAACATAAGAGCATCAAAACTATTCAACAGTCTATGATAAGAGAGCTCAAGCATTGTTTCGGAATCTAGTATTGTCTACAGTACTGGCAGCACTGATTGCAGAAGGGAAAAGGATACCAAATGTGACAGTAAAGTAGCTCTTTTTTTTTTTTTTTTTTTTTTTTTTGTCTTAAAATTTTTGGAAGAAAGGTTGTTCATTATTACTTTGTTATTAGAAAGTGATTTAATTTTCTTAATTTTAGAGAATGAGAAAAAGTACCATAAACAGCAATGTGCAGTTAAATAAAAACTGCTATTAATGAAAGAAGCTTGCAAATAAAAAAAAAAAAATAAATTAATTAAAAAAAAACACATACTTTTTAATACTCCCTATTTTAGTTCCAGTGATAAAATTCTACATGTCATGTTGAAAATTACTTGCTGATATAAGGAGCATAAAATTTCAAAGACAACTTTTTTCTTGCATTCAGAATTGTTAGCATTTGAAGTAACAGCTCAAAATGTCTACATATTTTAATGTCCACAGTATTTTATCTTCTTCAGGAGAGAAAGTCCATGTTATGCAGAGACAACAATAAAGTCCAACCAGATGGCTGTTTTAACAAAATAATTTTGACAATACAAATTTACAATACTGAGTTCTGAATGAGGCCATCTGCAAATGTAAATACAAAATAATTCTGCGAACTCAATTCTCAATATTTCAACATTTTGTACAACTAAATTATCACTTTTTGTTTTTAAATTACTAAATAATTTCTGCTGGACAAGCAGAAAATTATCTTTGAAATAATATGGTGATCTGTTAACATAGATTTGGAGTTATCTAGTCCCAAAGCATCAGGAGCCCTATCACCAGCTATAATACTCATGCCAATTATCCCAATACGATAACCCAATTATTACAAGCATGGCTGAGACAAGACAGAGTACACATTACTGAGTTCAGCTTTGTGAGTGTGATGTTTAGATGTACCAGCAAGATCCACTCAAGCCACCCATGTTGAAAAGCCACACTCAGTTTGATGGCGGGCACATTAGCCACTCCCTTCCACCGTGCCGAGACGGACTCCTAGAGAGATGGTGATCTACTAACAGGTAGATTGTAATAATTTCTAATGCCTTCTATATATACAGTGAACAACTCTTGATACATCTTAGTTACTGTGTTATTCTAATTACATTACATGCTTATATGGATGAATGCTCACATATTTTCCAGTTCTGTTGAAAGATTTAAGATATTCTATTTTTGCAGTTTGGGTCTCTTTCCCTTTTTGACCTAAATTCTTGGAACTGTGTGATGAATTTGGTGGCAGTTTTGTTCTTTTCATTGAAATTCCAATTTACCCAATCTCCTTCTCATTAATGAAATGGCTAAAGGATGCCAGGTCGCAGTGGCCAATCATATTCTTTTCTGTTGCTAGCTGATAGCAAGATTGCCTGAAGGTTTATGGCTGTAAAAGTAAGCTTTCAGTTCACTCTGAGTCAGTTTTGTTCTTTTCATTGAAATTACAATTTACTCCATCCTCCTTGTCATTAATGAAATGGCTGAGGAATGCCAGGTTGCAGTGGCCAATCATATTCTTTTCTGTTGCTAGCTGATAGCAAGCTTGCCTGAAGGTTTATGGCTGTAAGGTAAGCTTTCAGTTCACTCTGAGTCAGTTTCCCAGTTTACATCTAGGCTTACAAGTACTCTGTTATGTTTTTTGTGCAAATGAAAATGCTGAATGAGGAAAAAAAATCACAATGATAATGGAAATGAAACTGGACATCTTAAAAAGATTGGATAAAGAGAAAAGTATTAAAGATGGGCAAAGCCACTCTTTTATAGGAACATATCAGAACTGTTGGAGCTAAGCATGAAAACAATTGACTATTCTGGAAGAAACTCATCCGTTACAGAAAATTTTTTTTAAACTGGAAAATCTACCAATGGAAACATTTCTCATTCTGAATCATGTCTCATCCTATCCTAATATGGAACCGATATAAGGCAAAGATATTAAATCCATGATTTTCACTCCTAATGTGAATTCAGAAGTCAGCCAATAGACAGGCATTTTGAAAGTATTGAAGAAGGAATACAACTTCTTCCATACAATGAATACAGCAAACTTCTTACATGTCCTCTATTAGCCATGGAGGAAGGGTGTGCATTAATAAACTAAAGAAAACAAACATGTTGGACAAAATGGAGCAAATACCTGAATCTTGGAATCAAAATGAGCATATCAAGTTTGCTTATTCTTGGAGAAAATTAGAAAATTTTTGACCTATTCAAAAAAACAAGCTTTGAGAAAATACATAATAGACAGACAATTTTGAAATAGTGTGCATACTGAAAATTCCAAACTGAAAAGAAGTTATTGAAAAAAAAATATCTTGGCTGATGTATAAGATACTGATGGTTATGTTGGAGAACGGATGGGGCAAGACGAAAAATGTGAACTTTTAGAAAATGGTGAAACGAGTGCAGAAGAGTTGAAAGAGAATAATGATATAAATGACGTTAAAGGGGTCAAAGGAAAAAAAATTAAGACGACTTACAATGAAGGACTAAAGACCACTGAAAGAATGTTCCATTACATGAAGGAGCAAGATGCATCTGCTATGGAGATTTTTTTGTTTCTCTGTCATTTTTTACATGATTTTTTTTAAACTTTTAATAAATAGTACTTTTCTGTGTCCTGTCCTCCACTAGAACTTTCTTTAGAGTTATATGCTGTAAAATATAATAAGTTGTGAATAACCTACTCTTTGTTCTTTAAACGTGACATTTTCACGTGACATTTCAGCCCATACTATGTCGAATTTGCAGGATTCTATTGTATCACTGCCAAAGACACCCCATAATCATCTTTGAAATAAAAAAAAATAATTTTCTCCAAATTATTTTTTACTATGCCTACATAGTATATCTTCGACAACTACCTTTAATGATTTAGAAAATATATCACTCTTGTTGTTGTTACTTATGCTAACTTAAAAAAATATATCACTTTCAGGGTATATCGAAAGTTGACTTAATATTTGATTCGAACAGAATTTAAGTTTATCTGTCTTTTGAAAATTTTCTTCAATAACTGTCAATAAATACTCATATCATTAAATGGAGATATACACGTTATTTATTACAGATATATAAAATAAGGACTTATTTTGCTTCCTATTTAAAATGTGTGTTGATAAAACAGCTATTTCAAATTCTGTAAAAATGTTTTTCTTAATTATTTTTGTCAATTTGTATATTACATTTCATGAAAATGCTTCAGCAGAAATTTAAATAGTTATCCCCTTTGCACTTCCAGAAACAAATTTTAAATTGCCTTTAACTTATTTTTACCAAATATTTTCCTCTGTAGTAATAATTTTTCTCTCTCTGTTCCTCTCCATGTTAAAACTTTGAACTTATGAAACATTTGAGATATCTTTGTTACACATTTTATATATATATATATATATACATGTATGTACACACACATACATACATGTTCCTTTAACATTTATGAATTATTTAAAGTTACTGTTTCACATATGATTTTAGTCTGAAGAATTTTGCTATCTTTTATTATTGGCAAAGAAAAATTGACATTCATACCACCCCCTTAAAAAAAAGAGTTTCTTTTACCAAAAATAAATACTTACATTTTTCCTTGCAAAAGGTGCAAAGATGCAGAGATATTCTAAATTGCTTAAAATAATTAAATGATATTTTATTATTAAATTTTGTTTTTCAGACAAAAATACTTTTCATTAAGATGCCTTTATTACATCATTAGCATACACATTAATATCCCTTTATTCATGTTATAAAACAGTCATTTTTCTTTAAAAAATTACATTTAAGAAATATGCTGATGAATTAAGACTCTAATGCAAAAATAAATAAGTATTAATTCCTTTAACAGGCCAAAAAAGGCCAAAATTCCAACTTAAAATTGATACGCAAAAAATGATTAAGAAAGATATCAATGAAAAGATATCAGTAATTTAATAGTATGAATACAGTAATTGATAAATAATACAAACTTACTTCCTTCTCTGATACTGTTTTACATGCAGGCTCTTTAGTATACACATTTAATTTTGCCTAAAAAACAATAACATTTTCTGTTTTTTAAAGCTCAAATTAATACAGAAAATCAAAGAATTACAGAAAAAAAATTAAACTTTTGAATTAAATAGCATTTGAATAAAAATCTAGAGAGATGAATTAAAATATTAGGCTTTAAAATTACGCATTCCAAATGTCATTTAAGAGAACTAATGATTTATTTATTTAACAGTTCCTTTAATTTGAATCTAACTTTAATAGCATGTAGAATGGTAGTCAGCATATTTTCAGACACTTAAGTGTCAACATTTTACTAAACATACTTTATTAAACATATTAGACAACTTTCGAAAAGCTGCATTTGAAGAGAAATAATTTAGTGTTATGTTTCATCATAAATAAAACATGATCTATTAAGTAAAATTACATTTTATTCTTAATGTAATTAGTTTTCATTAATTTTTATATTTGCACTACAACTATAATAAATTTTAAGCATGAAATCCATGTTATTTATAATTTTGTGAGAAGTAATGTAGAAAGATCTGATATCAAATCACCTTTTTAACAAATGAAATAGATTCTTTAGAACTTGGACTTCTTACTTCACAATTTCTCTTATTTTTCCCATTTTTAGGACTTGGAGTCTAAACATATATTTATAACCAAAATTTTAGCATCAGAAACATAAAATATGAATTAATATGTTTATGAAATTTTCAAGACATATAAAGCTATAAACTTTCAATAATTAAAAGCATTACTAATAAAAAAATATAATAGGTAATATATCTATATAAAGTGAATATGAACTTTTAAACTATTATGCCATAAATGAGAAAACAATTTTCAAAGAGTTCCAGACTAACAATTGCTAATATAATAATTATATGAATAAAAAATACATAATATTGTTTATAGGCTGGGATAAAATTCACATATATTTTTTTTTTGTTATAAACGTGTTTAAATTTGTGTTATAATCTTATAAAATTTATTTTGTGTTTAAGATCATACAGGTTTTCATGTAAGAAATGTTACATTTAATTACATTTAATACTCACTGTTTACTGTTTAGCCCCTTTGATAAAACAGAATGAAAGACAAAACACGTGAAAATTCCAAAATAAATGGCAAATTTGACAACTTTTCCAAATTTTCTATAGCCATAGGATGAGGTTTTATATTCAAAGCTTAGTTATGACATCTTCTGTGATGTTATGGTTTACGTAACATTGCATACTACATTCTCATTACATTCAATCCAGTTCAGTAAAACAGACTATGCCTTTACTAAACTACTATGTCAGCAACAAACTAATAACTAATAACTAATGGCTAATGACTTTACTAAACAGACTATGCACAGTGACAATTTAAAACAACTTTTATCATTTAAAATTGACAATTTTCAAAATACCTTTTTACATTCTTATGCCTACCGGTTTGCAAATTATGTAATATGCATTCTAAAAAGAGAAACAGTTTCAACAGAAAGCTTTTCCAATATTTCTACAGATATATGCTTTCAAAAACATTGATTAGATAGAGAGAATTATTCTAAAGCTTTGATAAAGGCTTTTTTTAATTGTTCGACAACTGATCCAAATAAATTAATGTTTAAAATAGGTTCAGAAAGCAACCTTAGTTTGGCACAGATTTGGGGAATGTGAATATCAACGGCAATTAGACATATGTCATACTTCTTCAAGAACAAAAAATAATTTATGAAAAATAGCAATTTCAAAAAATAAAACTTGCCTAAAATTTTGCCTCATCAATTTTCTGCTGCACAATTGTAAAATCTTTATACTTACTGCATTGTTCGATTGTTCAATTACTGCATTGCAAGATATGAATGCTTTTATCAGTTTATACTGATAAAAGCATTCATATCTTGCATGCTCATTTTGTTCAAAATTATTTCATTTTTCATTATTTTTAATACATCTTTGTCTAGTGACCATAAATGCTTTATATGACATTAATTTAAATTACTATGATATCTAGTTAAAATAAATTTTGCAATGATTACTGGAAAAATAGCTAAGCTATATACAGAAGTTGTTTGCACATTTTTTAGATGATTTTGCTTTGCCTTTAAAAAAACTTCTGCTTGGAAAATTTTTTTAACTGCAACTATATTTCTGAAAGTATAAATTATCGTCTGCTACTTGACAATTTTCTTTTCATGCAAAATGTGGCTTTTAAAGAAGCAATGGAAGGCTAAGTTTGTGCTCTTTCCAAAGAAAATTATTCTACCTAATTATTAAAAAACATTGTGAAAGCCATGGTTTTTTTATATCTAAAGCTATGATAGGTAATATTGTCAACAACAAAGGGAAAAAAGTCAAAATGTAGCTTTGTGAGGAAAAAATTTTCCAAATATGTATCCAAGGATAAAATGAAATGTTTCAAATCTTGCAAAAGTAAGATCTTAAATGTTAAAAGAAAATCTGCCAAGTTAAAGGACAGCTGCCAGAATCATTGAAATGCTCAGTGTCAGCTGCAAGCAAATTGATTAATGCTCATTTGAATCTTAAAAAGCCGAAAAAACATAGTGGGTATCATCTTTCTCCATGACATACCACCAAACCCAGAAAAAACTGCAGAATTATGTATGAGAAACATTTATCTGGACAAAAATGGAAAAATGTTGTCACGATGAATCTTGTGTGTATTTAACAACTGTTATTAAAAATATCCATTTATTATCATCACAGAGAAGATAAGATATTGGCTTACCTGCTCTGCGAGACTTTACCGTACTTTAGGTTCCCTCACCCATCAGAACCAGGCAAAGAGGTTCAACCTCTGCCCTCGCACCTTGGAGAGAGAGACATACCGTCTGGGACATATTGTCCAAATGGCACTGGTTGTCAATTTGCTACCTGCCAGTCACTCGGGCTGCTTGTTGCAGTGGGACATTACCCAGCGAAACCAAGGGCTACTAGAGCCACACTGCTCTAGAACATGTCAGACCACCAGGCCAGCCAATGAATGACGTTTCAGGGGCCTTCAGAACCATCAAAGTTCATAAATTGTATACTCCCATGGTTGAGACTGCCTAGGTACAGATCCTAGCCAGTAGTTTCGCAGAGTTCTCTATGTCGACACCCCGAGGGGGGGTCATCACAGATAAGAATATCTTAAATATAAAATCAGATTTAATGATTATATTATATATCAGATTTAAAATATCTTAAAATATGGTTCAAAGAATCTAAAGGGATTTATGATTGTTGCTGGTATTTCATATAATGGCAAATTAAAAATAAACAGTGTGTGGAAGAATGTTAACATCAACTATATATAAAAATATATTTTATACCAATTTTCAAATATGAGCTACCTTTTTCTTGTGCACAGTGCAATCAATCAGTAAAATTGCATTAAAACAAAGCAAGAAGCAACACATCAAAATCTACTGTTAATTTCAAGAAAAAAAAAAAAAAAAAAAAGGAACACGAAACAAGAATCAAGACCCTTTACTCATATACCTACTAAATCTCCTGATCTGTCAACAATATATTTTTATGCTTTTGGACTTTTAGATAGTGAATTGTCCAAATATCGACCTACAAACTGCCTTAGACTTCAGAAGATTTTAGAAGCAATGTGATAAAATATGTCTTCCGATACAACAGAAGCTTTTATTGTCTTGCAAAATATTGTGTATAAAGATAGTGAAGAATAAGGATTATCAAATATAGTATTTAAAACATAAAAATTTTAGGTAAAATATATCTGTAATTAAAATGAAAATCATCCACAAATTTGTGAACAGCCTCTGTAGAAGCATATAGATACAATTAAATATAAGCTAACAATTCTTTAGCATACACTAAAAAAATTTTTAACCTAGCAAAGAAAATATTTTTAGCATTGCAGTGTTTAAAATTATAGCCCAAATTATTAATTGCAGAATTTAAAAAAATGGGAATAAAATTTCAATTTAAACCAAGGAAAAGGGTATTTGACAAGATTATACAAAATTAAATCCAAAATATACTAAATTTAAAAAAAAAATGTGCTGCATAATAATGAATTAAATACCAGTCATATAAAACAGTGAAGTAACACAAACAGCTTGCTCTAGGTGCAGAAATTTAAATAAAATGCTTTCAATTAAGAATTTAAAGTCAACTTACTATATTTTTAAAGAATACAAAAGTATATGCATATTTTTCTGATAGCTTGTATTTTAAAAATGATGTAAGATAAATGTTTTGCTGAAAATTGTATTGAAATTAGTATTTTTGGATTCTTACATCTGACCTTGGTTTGTTCTAGGTGAAAAAAGTGTTAACAAAGTCATTTTAAAACAAAACAGTAGCTATCTAGAAATAAGCATGTTTAGTATTCCAAAATGTTTTTTACACTGCTCATCTAAATTAAAAGATATTGACAGAAATAAAACTTAACTGTTATCTTCATGAAATGTACGCAGTGACAATTTGTATAAAAGCATTAATTAATATGAGCTATCAATGACTGCCATTTGATTATCTCCAAATATTGAAATTGAAGTAAAACTTATAGAAATTTGAAAATGATGGAAAATAATCAACCCTATTTTGCAACAAAGCTTCCTTTAATATGGTGCATAGCTACTTCTGACAAAAAAGCAAACATTACATCTTGATTTCATAGAATTTATCAAACTATCAGTCAAGTCATGGATCAAGTCATGGAACTGTGCACCACTACTTTTCATGTCACTTTTCATGTCTAGAAGATCTAGGGAGGCATTTTGTGCACTGCAATTCAATGGCCTAAGGCCTCCCTCACATGCTCAATCAGATTTGAGTGAAATGGCCAACCTATTGAAGTAAGAGCTTTAGTTAGTTTCCAAGTATTCTGAAACTAGATGCAAATAAGCATTGTCATTCATTAGCAAAATATCTAGACCAACAGCACACATAAACAGCCTTGGTTTCAACACCTTGTATATATATATCTGTGACAGGTTACAGAACCTCCATCAAAATCATGCACTATTTGATGGTTTCCTTCCAAATCATGAAATCACTTCTATGGAAATGGGATCTTTCGTGAATAAGGGAAGGCAAATTATGTGCTCTTTGCTCTCTCCAGATCATATTATATCTAGAATTATAATTCAGTCTATATCTGAACTCAGTACACAATCTCACTCCTCTTGGCTCTACTGAACATGACAACGGCACAACATCAAACATCCCCTTTGAAAATCAGGTGAATGGACAACAAACCATCAATTTTCTTATACAAAATCTAACCTTGTTAAGCCTTTGTGCAGCAGTGAAATGGTATATAGATCTGTGACTGGTTACAGAACCTCCATCAAAATCATGCAACTTGGTGTGGTCATACCTGACAATTTCCTTCCAAACCATGAAATCACTTCTATGGAAATGGGATCTTTCATGAATAAGGGAAGGCAAATTATATGCTCTTTGCTCTCTCCAGATCATAGTTTATCCAGAATTATAAATCAGGCTATATCTGAACTTAGTACACAAGCTCACTCCTCTTGGCTCTACTGAACATGACAATGGCACAACATCAAACATTCCCTTTGAAAATCAGGTGAATGAACAACAACTCATCAATTTCCTTACACAAAATCTAACCTTGTTAAGCCTTTGTGCAGCAGTGAAATGGT